CAAATTGTAAACCATTTTGCCAAATTCATTAAAAAGAATCAAATCATTCTTAAAATGATTGTCACTCACAAATGAGACATCAATGCTCTACACAAGCAGTATCAAAGTGACTCCACTAGGCATATATAAATACAATGTATATCCACTACATATACTGCCATGATTAACATTTTAATATTAATTATCAAGATTTTTTTAATTTTAAATTTTCTGTTATTTTCAGGTTTGTCAATGCAACTAAGAAATTAAGATTTGCTTTACATTTGCAGTAACCATTGATGCAATGATTTACACAATAAAAACGAAAATGTATTGACAAAAGCACATATTTCTGCACCTTGCAATACGGTTGTTGTCCGTCTTCCTGACACGACGGATCGCAGTGATGTTTGCTTTCATCAGATAGTGCTGAGCCAGATCTAGGGAGATGACAAATTAATACTCACATGATCTAAAAAATAAAAAAGACCACCATTGCTTCTCATAAACACATGACTGCATGAATAATCATATATGTACCAGAGATGCCCTTTTCGGTGAAGATCAGGTCAGGTTTGAGACGAATAATATCTTCACAGATCTGCTGGATGTACTCTTCCTCCATCTGCAGAATGCGGGCGAAGTCTTCCTCGCGAGTGATCTCAATATCAGTCTGAGAGGAGCACGAGGCCAAAGGTCAGTGTTTTAGATGTTTTTAAATAAGCATTCAAAGGAAGATTGTGGATTCAGACAACATCTCACCTGACTCTCACCCTTCTTGTACTCCAGAGAGCAGTCCAGCAGAACAATTCTCGGGTTCTTAATGAGTCTTCGCATACGGGGATGAGTTACATCCTTATTTACCATCACCCCCCTCAGCACACATGAGTCGTCAATGATGCCGCCAGGCACCTATTCACACAAAAACTGCAATTAGGTATGTAACGAATCAGCTCATTAGGAAATATGAATAATTAACCATAACTAGTTATAATTAATTATTCATATTTTAGATCCGCTGTAGATATTTAGCTGACCTCTCAGGGTCAACTGTCTTGTCAATTCTAAGAACGTTAATTTCCTGGTTAAGGGAAATAACTTTCTTACTGTACAATTCTACAAAAGCTTGTAGCATAAATCTGCATGATTAAGTGACTCCAGTTAT